GGACTGGAACCCCAGGGCCATATATCAATCGGCAACGTTCACTAAATGAGCTGATCATTCGGGACACGACTTCCTTAAAGAACATGGATGCAACCTGTTAGACACAGCAAATATCAGGATGATTCAAGCTAACTTCAAATAAATTTTCATTTTAAAGCCCCAAAAAACGTAAGCAAAAGGTTCTCATTTTTTTTAAAGCAGCATACAAAATGCATTCAATTCAAAAGTTTGACTACATGTATTCACAGCAAAAGTATGGCAATAAAATGCTTTAAAAAGACACCTAGCTGACAACATGGATGGTGGTTACATGAAAAAGAACAAAAGAATATAAGGATCAGGTGACGAACAAAAATATAAAAGCGAAGAAGTAGGCACCATTTAATCAAAGGAAAAAAAAAAATTCAAATGATAAACAGCAGGGCAACTGTTACATGCATACCGTGAGGGAAAGTCAAGTATTGGTAATGATCTACAAACCCCCTATGTCCTATGGGGTCATTACCTTCCGGTAGAGTGGTGACTGGAACTTAAAGTCCACAAGAAAGTAAAGGTTGCAAGTTCCTGGAACTGGTCCGGGATTGAATTCCCAAATGTTTATCAAATGATCGAAAATGCCACTTTCTGATGCAGTTGACTGCAAGGACATGATATAGGGTCAGATCATCAGTAAGAGTTAAGGTAGAAAATTAAATCCATGGACCAAATAAAAATTATCTATGCAGAGGCAAGCCAATCAATATCCCTTTTGTAAGTCACAAGTAGAACGTAGTTGCTCATAGATGGCATAGACAGAGACTAATTTTTTTTAAAATTGTAATGACCATGCTTCTCCATGTTAAATATAATCAACATGGAGAAGCATGGCCATTACAATCATAAGGAGCAAAAGAGATCACATACATACTCCAAGAAACAAATAAAAACTCGATATAAGATTAATCGAAATGGTAAACGCAGCTTCCCTAAATATTCAGGCAAACTTTCAAGTTTGAGTTTGTTAAGACTGGAAATAAGATTTTTTTTTTCTAATTGAGGTTACATGGCACTTGGTTCTAATTCAATATTTTGGAATAAGGGAGAGAAACAAAAACATGTGTTGCTCTCCTATTGCTTCATTCCTGTTTTAGTGAATTTTATGTTCAAAACACGAAAACTACATATCAATCACGTCCGGTTCAACCTGATTCAAAATTTGATGTCTGAGTCCCCCTAAATGCATTTTATAGAATTCAGATAAGTTGCCCGAAAACATGCTCAGACAGTTAAGTCAATGGTTTATAGTTCTCAAATCCTTGGTTGACAACCAATCTACATTTACAACTGCTCCGTTTCCTAAATATTAGGATAATGAAGGCTTTAACAATTTGCAAGTAGCATGTCCAGGAAATAGCCCGTTAATATAAATGTTCTCACTCATCAGTTTCATTAAATGGCAAAGCATGCAAAAAGGTCTACAATCAAATAGCTTATCAAAATTCAACTTCATTCCCGAAGCAACTGCCAGATAAAAGGTCCTACATTAGCATAATGCAATATTTCCAAGCATCAAATATGCAGATATCTTAATACAATAAACATAGCTAAGTAGATATCAGCAGCTTCATAAAACACATTAAAGCCAAGCTACAAAAAAAGCAGCTGTTTTAAATATAATGGTAAAATTCACTGCTATTACCTTTACAAACTTGGGTCTGCTTAGTTCTACATGAGAAACATAACTCTCGACAAGAAACTTGAAACCAATCTCTAATTCAGCATCAAACGACCCGTCTGGATACCGTTTAATAATGTCAGACCGCTGACACCAAGGAACAAATCCATGATACAAATCAACAGCTGCTACCACATCAAATAATTGCTCCGGCGAATACCTAATCATCGATAAAAACATATTAATCCGATAAGAAATCTTATACTAATACTAGCTTAAATCTTTTAATTAACAAGAATATATCAAGCTACATGCAAGAGAATATTTTGATGAAATTACCCCATGACGACCCTTCCTCGTAAACTTTTGATAAAACGCCGCCTTCTTCACCGTCGCCACATCCCAAAAATGGTCTCCTTTGGAGTGTGTAATGATTAAAAAATTGTTTAATGGAACAATAGAAGCCTCCTTGCGTGAACCGAGTGATGGGTGGACCGACGACGGTTGGACACCGGAAACGGTAGTAACCCATCGGATATGATAGAGGTTGCCGGACCGCTCACCGTTCTTGGCTCGCTTAACAAACCGGCTAATCAAATTTCTACGGGATATTACCGACCCGACCGCCTTTGTGGTCGAAAAAAACGGCGGCATTGCAAATTTAATGAATTAGACACGAAATGAAACTGTTAGGTATAAAAGATTTGGGGAAATGAACTATGAAAATTAATATCGAAAAGATAAGACAAAATCTTACTTTTTTTATAAAAAAAAATTGAAAAATCAGAAACCCTAGGTTGACAGGGAAGAGGGTAAGAAAAGAGGTCTTTCAGAAGAACGAGGACGAGTTAACAACAGAAATTTGTTTGGGACAATGGAGTGAGGTTCCTGGATGATCCCTCTGTTTCTACTTACAATTTAAGGTTGGGTACTTGGGTGATTAATTTCTATATTATTATTGATTTCTCCAGTTTTGGGAATTTGGAAATAGTTGTAAGCATTAAAATGAATATATAATAATCAAATAAACTAATATATTTGTTTAGAAAATCTTAGGGAATTTTTTAATATAACATTAATTTTATTAAAAGTAGAAAAAATCAAATTATAATAAAGATTTATAATTATAAACGTAAATTCAAACATATAATAAAGACATTTTTTATATCCATTAGTACAAGAAAATTAACCACTATAATGATATAAGGAAAAAGTTAAAATCCTAATCAAATAAATTCTATCTAAAGGTAGATACAAATAGACCTCACTGCATCAGTAAATAAACCACAAAAGAGATTAAACTATTGAAAGACCATTAACAAATCGCATATCAAAGTCGAGCGGCATGAAAAATTATCCACAAACACAATCATATATTTAAATCTAATTTAATACTCTAAAGTATGAAAGATCAACACGACAACAAATAAGTGTCATCTTAATCAGCCATAACTATGTCAAATCCAACCCAGAGATAAAAATAAACGAAAACATCGGTCAATTATAATAAAGATTTACAATCATAATCGTAAACTAAACATATAATAAGTACATTTTCTTATAATCATTAATACAATAAAATTGGTCACTTAAGATGACAAGAGGATTATATAATGAAAATGTTAAAATTTGAATCAACTAAAGTCGAACAAAATACAAATACGAATAGATCTGATTGCATCGACAAACAAACTACAAAAATACCAAGCTATTGAAAGACCAAGACAAATCTTAAATCAGAGTCGAGTAACATGAAAAAATTATCACAGACGTAATCAAATATCTAAATCCAATATGATAGTCTAAAGTAGGGAAGATAAGCATGATAACATATAAGCGTCAACTTGATCAGTTATGGCGATGTCAAATTCAACCCTGAGAAAAAAATAAACGGAAACAATGACCAAACAACAAAAAAACGTGTCATAAAGACATAAAAAATCATGACATAAAAATAAAATTATTAAAAAAATAAAAATACAATATAATAAAATAAAATAAAATAAAAATAATGAGTATTGACGATTAATTATAAGCACTAAAATCAGTGTTCTAGTCAATCATAAAAAAAAACTAATGATGACAAAAAAAAACCAATAGATAAAAACCTTAAATGAAAACTTGGAAAAAATCTATTTATCGAGCCTACCATTAATTTTTTTTATAATTATATATAAGTTTGTTGAATTAATGTTATTTAATCATAATAAAATATAGTAAAATTATTATATCTAAATATTAAAACAATTAAGAAAAATCAGAGTATTTCTCTTTTTATTTATCCAAATATGTTATTTCTGAGGTATTTAAATAAAACTAATAATAGACACGAATTAGACTACCTCGACGGTTAAAGAAATTATTGTTATTTCTAAAGGTCTTAAATTCGAGTACTAGAGATTGTAAGAGTATTGAACTTTCATTGTCAAACTGTTGATAATTTTTAAAACAAATATTATCTTATAATCACCCTAGATAAATCAAAAGGTAAAATAAAACTAATAATAGTAAAAAAAATATTTTAGAAGCATGATTATTTTAATAATATTTAATAATCTTAAATCCTAAATCTTAATACATAACTTAATAAAATTTAGATTTCAAATTTTAATCTTAAATTTAAACCTTAAAATATATTATTTTATTTTTATTTATTTGAAGTGAATATAAAGCAGTATTTGTTCAAATACTCTTAACCATTTAATATTGAACACTCATATATTTACCTATGCGGTACTTAAATCTAAAACCTAAAAAAATAACAATAATTCTTTAATCATTGAGATCACTTAATTTATGTTATTATTTTAAATCTTAAATGAAACCCAATAGACATTGAAATTTTATTTATAAAATACTTTGTCATTGAAACAACTTTTCCTTTTTAATACTCACTGTATAAATAAAATATATAAACTAAACATCAACGTTGAACCACAAACCAAACTATAATAATTATTAATTCGTTTTGAGTTTTTTTAAAAAATTGTAGTTTTTTTTTATAAATGAGTATAATATAATATATGTATAATTATTCTTAATCATTTGACAATTAAATTTTCACATTTTTGTACACACAATACTTGAATTCAAGAGATAGCAATAAATATCTTAATCACTAAAATCATTTAATTACATTAAATAAATGTTATCATGTGTTACTAAGATCATTTAATTACATTAAATAAATGTTATCATATCTTATCATTTAAATTTTTGATTAAGTGATATCATCTGTTATAATAATTTAAAAATATATATTTGTAAATGATAATTAATACTATTCAAAAACTTTCTATTAATATTTACTTTTCAGACAAATGGATTGAACATAATTTTGGGTATAAAAGTAGCAGCTTATATTTAAAAATAATAATAATAACATTTTGGAGAAAGAAAAGTACAGTGGTAAAGATGATTTCATTCCAGTTGAACATAGAAGCAGTTCTTCACAAACTCTATCTCATATAATAACAACCCTTTGGGGTTTGGCGTAGTGAGTGTTCTTCGTTGGATAAAAAAAATGGACCGACGCTCAGACAGACAACGAATGTTCTGTCTAATTCAAGTTCCCTGCTTCTGCATTCTGCTCACCCTCCGGTATCACTGTTTCTTGAAGATCCATCTGACCTGCTTCAATAGAAACCCAACTAATTGATTATCAAATGAAGCCACCTTTTGCAAACAAACAACACTTGTATCTATCTACCATTCATTATTATACCTGGAGATAACTTATCCACAAACATTTAAAATCTACGTCAATTAAATAAAAGTCCTTTCGTTTTAATAGTGTTTAAACCAAGAAAACAAAATGTTACATATTTGACATATTCAATCTCCGATCAATCTAATCTGAAATTAGATTACGGATGAATGGGACAAGGGGAAAGTGGGGATGAATCGACCAATGACCATTCCATTCTGTCACATGCTAAAACACTATTCAGGATACTATATACAAATCAAATAGGTTTTAGGATGAAGAGAACAAAAACAAAACTGAACTGGCTGTCATGTGCAATTGAGCATAGCAAGTAGGTGTTTTCTAATGCTAGATAACGAGGCATATACAATAATTAATCTGGTGTAGATATATGCTTTGGATCAATCAGCTAATAGCCACGCAGAAAATGATAATCCCATGAATTCTCAGTATTCTCCGATGAGAAATGCAAAAGTGGCAGAACAAGCTTTCTTCCTCGTGAAGTTGAAGATCTTTAAAGAGAGAAAAAAACGTACCTAGCAAGGAAATAAGAGATGGGGCTTTTGGAAGTCCACTGGATCTCATGTCACTACCTGCAATGCATATCTAAATTCTAAGTCTACATCCCAATTCGTAACATGTGTAGCAACTTATGAAATCGTAAAATTACTGTATGTACAGCCGTCTTAAAATTCTCCGTATTTACAGTCATCATATTCATAACTGCGGTGTGAAAACCTGTCACAAGACAATATGACCACATACTTTCTCATCATCATGCATAAAGCAAACTCCAAGCAGTTCTAGCCTTTGCTGAAGATGAAGCATTAAGATTGGAAGTACAAAGGAAACTTCATGTAGCTTTAGCTACATGCAATTGATTTACATCAATCTTATGAATCCTACAAGACAATATTACTACATGGGAGTTACAAATCACTCTCAAGTAAGTCTGCATAAAGAAGTATACCTGAACTTTCAAGTGATTTATTGATATCTGATTTCTTAAAAGTAAATCCTATGAAATTGGTATCTTTTGATGTCAACATCTGCGCAAACAAAATAATAATAAAAAACAAAACACATAATTTCAGAATCAGTCTAATAAAATGCAGTGCCACAAACGCTTTCCTCAAAGAACACAAAAACTGGTTACCTTCCTCCAAGGTCCCACTTGTGGTATTGTGGAGGGAGGGATGTCAATCTACCAAAAAGCAAGAAATTGCAACATTAGTTTACAGAAAACGTATTAAAAAAACTATAAAGAAAGACGGAAGGAATTCCAAACTTTTATATAAAAAAAAACATGAAGGACCAACAAGAAAAAGTAATCAAAATTGTTTCACCCCCCTTTCAACCAAAATACAGCTACCTATTTATAGAAATTATTATATCCATCATTGAAAAAAAGGCTTTACTGAGTTAAAAGCATTCAAAATAAGAGATTAAGATTCCTAATTACTTTATTACCCCGCAAAAAAGTATGAATCAGATGCAGTAGCATTCAAAGTACTCACTTCAGGGAACTTCTCAAAATTTTGAGTGTCCAAGTCTCCAGTGACTGTTGGCTTATATGCAGCTTCAATTTCATAGAGTTTTTCCCACTGAACACCTCTGAACCATGGATGTGCCTGATAAATGCTCAACAGTTTAAAACTTAAAAAATATGAAGAACACTAACAAGCTCAAACCAAGAAAATAAACTGACTGATCCAATGCATAAATACTGCAGAAGCAGATGGTGCAACTAGTTTGTCAATCTGCATAATTAAGATCAAGCATGCTAGAGTATCTTGCAACAAAACCCGGTATAAGAAACATAAATGGAACTCTCTGGACTTTAATCTATAACACTTCTGATAATAAACATTTATGAATCATTGAAAGGACTAACCTTCAATTCTTCTACTCCTCTGGTGCCTAGACGTGTTTCAACATCACAAAGCAGGTGACAAATTAAATGCTTAGCCTCATCAGATATTTTTGGTTCCTCAGGGAATTTCAAGCAGGTTCTCCAATTAATTATCTGTGCAAATATAGAAAGATTATTATATAGTGAACAAAGGAGGCTAACAGAATAACTTATAATGAAAACTTGATGCCACCTTGCGGCATGTTATCCGAGGATCATCAGAACAAAATGGAGGATAGCCGACGAGCATCTCATACATGATTGCACCCAGAGACCACCAATCACACTCCATTCCATAACCCTTCTTTATTAGAACTTCAGGAGCCATGTAATCAAGAGTCCCGACAGTGGAATAAACCTGCAAAAGCCAGAAATTAGCTGTTACTGAATGAAAGTAACGTATATGATTAATGGATGTAAAATCAGAAAAATAGAAAGGTACTCAAATTAATGATTGTATGCAAGTAACTGCAGATAGATAAAGATAATACCAGTGCACGGCGATTTCGTTTCCACTGTTGCAGTTGTTCTTTTGGCATCAACCAAGGGGCTTTTCCAGAGCCCGACTGGATCGCAGCTTCATTGGCAGATTTCGTGGAAGTTAAATCTTCATCTTCCAACAAAATTGATGAATACTTTTCATCTAGGGGTTTACATAAGCCAAAATCTGAAAGCTTCAAATGCCCATTCCTATCTAGTATCAGGTTATCTGGTTTAATGTCCCTACAAAACATCATAGAGCATAAATACATGCAAAGAAACTATTCCAGTTTCAAGTATTTTAAGCATCTAATTATCCCCACGTTTTTCCTCCAGCACAAGAACAACGTATGAAAAACCTTGGGGCTAGCCAAGGTTATCCTCTCTCATTGATTAAAATGCACATACATTCAAGAAAATTGAGGTCCAGCTACTGAGCCACCCACATCGAAACACTCCACCCAGTAATTTTATAAACATGTTAACAAAATTCAATACCTATGAATATAGTTGTGTTGGTGAATTGAATGAATAGCCAAAATGCTCTCTGCTACATAGAAACGTGCAACATCTTCGGAAAGAATATCTTCTCTCATCAATAGTGTCATGATGTCACCACCAGGCAAATACTCCATAATAAGGTACAAGAAATCAGGATCTTGAAAAGAATAGAACATCTTTACAATGCACCGGCTATCAACCTCAGCAAGTAAATTTCTCTCAGATCGAACGTGTTCAACCTTGAAGAAAAATAAAGTGAAAAGTAAAGATAACGATTTAAACTTAATCTGTGGGTTTGTGTCATAATCCCAATAAAAATGCATGAGTTGGTTCCAGAAAGAGCCCAACCTTCTAAATCAAATGAGATTAAGATTTTTCTAAGATGAAGTGAGTAATTGCCAACTGCCTATTCATTGGACTGGAATGGAATCCAATCATACTATAGTACCCCAGAAAAAGAGGGTTGAAAGAAAGGAAGTAAGGCAATAACCATGCATATTCCTACATTAAAGGCATCAATAAAAAGGATGCCAGCATGCTTAGCGATCTTTGCATTCATATAACTAAACCGGCAATTAAAACATACAAAAGCAAACAAAGCTTGTGATAAAAGAAATTGATATAATCAACAAAGACAATTCTATTTCAAACTGTTGACTCTTTCCAATGGGTTACCTGTCCACGACTAAGCATCTCTGATTTCTTTAACTTCTTCATAGCAAAAATCTCTCCTGTACTTTTAGCACGACATAACCTGACCTGCATTTGTTACTATATACGGTAGTAATTATGAAGCCATTAGCCATATGATTATAGACATTATCAAATTCTTTTTTCAGCAGAATGGCGACAAGTCAAAACTGTCACTGAAAATCTGAACCAAGGATGAAGAGCATTGTTATAATAAACCTATAAAATATACCTCTCCAAATGCACCTTTTCCAATTACAGTCAATTGTTCGAAATCATCAATTCCGATTTTACGTCTTTGCAGCCGCATATATTCAGTTTCTCTCCTTTCCAAATTCCTCATCATCTCCTCGTGTTCCTCGATCGAAATCTGAGCTTCCTCAGCTCTCCTTTGCAGTGCTTGTCGTCTTAAAAGAGCAACAATCAATATCCAAATAAACTTACATTTGAATCCTCAAAAGCATTACAATATATTCCATCTAAGCCAGCCGTATACATTAATTAACATCATATTTTTCAATAATTACCTAAAGCAAAGGAATTCAACTAGAAAAACTATGCAATAAGAAAAAGAATAACAGAGCTCGTGGAAATTATAAATGCAAATGAAGTACGGAACAGAATTACCTTTCTTTACGATCTTGTAATCCTTGCAAATAGTTCTTGTAATGATTCTCAATAAACTGTTTGGCGGCTGCAGCTTTTTGCCTGGTTACCGGCGAAGAAACGGAGACATCTTGATCCAAATCTAAGCCTCGACCCGCTTTCAAATTCAAGGCTCCTAATCTCACCGTCCCATCTCCACCATCCATTCTCCTTAGAAAGTTCAAATCAGAGTTTTTTTTTCTTTACACCAAATACCAAGTTTCAACTTTCAATAAAAAAAATTAAGAAATAATAATCATTCCAAATACAAAGGAAAGAAAAAGCTGATAAATGAAGACTGTTTGGTGTCACAGTATCGAGGAGAGATCTAGGAGCTGTCACCTGTTATTTGTTTGTGAAAATGACTCAAAGAAAGGCAAAGCGATTTATAAATTGAAATTAAAAGAAAAAAGAGCTATACAAATTGCTAAGGCGTGTGCGGGTTCGCGCCAGAATTTTATAATTATAAATTTGTAAACGGCTTTGCATTGCAAGGCTGTCCTTCATCTGTTAAAACTGCTATTGTTTCTGTCTGTTTAGGCTTTTCGGAGGTTTAAAAAATAATAATATATTTTTCTCTTTTCGGGGTATTTATTTTGGGAATGGAGTGTAATCCACGCCATCCTTTTCCTATTAAGAACTGAATTTTCTATTTTAATTATATTTTAAAATTTCAGTCGAAAAAGGAAAAGGTGCGCGCAATTTGGTGTAGATTTTATGATCCGTGGGACTGTACAGTGTTGGCGAAGACGGATCTTACGTTTTTCTCGCGCGTGAATTGTACGCATTCTAAAAGTAAACAGTGGAAAGAAATTGATAAATTTTTATGGTGTGAGGGGTGTTTTCGTTGGTGGGTGAGAAGTGGGAAAACATGACAAAATGAGTTGAGCGGAGAAATGAATTCGCGTGGAGTGGAGGTCAATGAAGATTGATGTTGACGCGCGTGTGTTAAGCCAGCGGAAGGAACCGGGGGATGAATTTTTGGTATGATCAGATCCCGACTCGACATTCCGACATGGTCCTGGCTGATCTCTGACTCTGTCATGTTGTGTGTGCACGTCAAAATGCTTCAACTGAACAACAACAAGCCACGTGGTTTCCTAAATAGGCCAATCCTAAGATTTAATCAGCTAATATCATTTATTAAAATTATTTAGAAATGTATATCTTTCGAAATTATTTATAAAAAAGAATATTCATTTTGTCACATAAGATAATTTTTTTAAAAATGTGTGTGACAACCATTTTTCGTAAAACAATTCATTATTATTTATAAAATAGTTATGATTTTTATTTCGAAAGTTGGCGGATTTTGAATTGATTTGGATTAAATTGGATAGTCATTGTCGACCTTTGGGTTAGGTGTGTCGAATACCTAAAAACGTTTTTTTTAACAATTTTAAGAAAAACTATTTTTTAGACAAAAATCGGTTTGCGTTTACCAAATATTCGTTTTAAAAGAGTTCGGAAGTCGGTTACGCATAGGGTAGGATTAGCACCCCACAACGCCCAAAATTGGTACTATGTCGCTTACACTTTATCGTACCAGTGGAAATTATATATCGAATGTAAAGTTAAAATACGATCCGTTTATTGAAATGTAATTAATTTACTTCAAGTTAATTATTTAAAGAAAATCTTTTAATTCGATAAAAAATCTTGAAATTTGCAATCCTCCATCGGGAAAGCTATTTCAACTATTTTTCATTATTAAAGAATATTTTGTCCTTGTTGATTTAAAAAACGAATCAAACATAAATTAAGAATAGACATTTGCATAAAATAAACAAATTGATGTTTTGAAACATACATTGCATCATTTGAACAAAAATACATTAATTAGTAAAATAAACTCGATTCGATTTTATTTCAGGTTCCCATGTCGTTAAAATGCCATATCGGATCGCACCACTTCGAATAAGTGATGCTTTCCACGCTCATTTTACGCATACGTATTCTTAAAAAGATTCGAATATTTTATCAACAAATAAAAATACAATGAAACTAAATGTAGTTGAAAATATACAACATAAGACATTTACAGTAAATAAAGCTAATACTATTTATTTAATATGATGTAAAATAATTACATAATATGTAAAACATACATTCAATATAAGAAACTGAAATAAAAATAAATAAATATTACAAACCAAAGTAAAATGACCAAAAAATAAACACTTAGTAATTCCAAGGACCATAATAAAAAAATAGAAACTTGAAGGAATTAAACATATATTATAAATAGATCAGAACCACATTCAATATTTTAAACAAATAGAGGTACTAAAAATGACATTAACCCATAAATAATGTTTACATACTGAAATGAAATAACCCTAAACAACAAGGATCACACAATAATTAAACCGACTGCCAAATAGTACTAAAATAAAAGTTTTACATATATCATGATCAAAATCAAATATTAGCAAAAATACATAATACACGAAATTGATGACTAAATTGAAATAACCTCAAATATGGTGACCAAAGTTAAATATTGACAAGAATACACAATATAATAATAACATGACTAAAATATAAATACTAAAAAATAAGTGCTCGAAACCAAATAAAATAAAACTTCATTTAATGGCTTAATAATAAGATTACAAAAAACATGGGGACCAGAAAGGCTATTATCCCCTAAATAGAAAACACGGATGGGGTATGGACAAAACGACAGCGTTTTGGTTTGGGTATTTAAACCCAAATCGAGCCCTTTCTTCACTTATCTCTCATTTGCCTTCGTTTTTTAAAACAGAACACCTCATCGGGAAGAAAAGTTAGCCGTCACCGACGGTATTCACAGCGACGCCACGACGGAACACGACGACTGGAGCTAAGCAACCACCCTCAAAAGATGCCCCTTTCACCCTCAACCCGAAAATCGCCTCCACCTAGCCTAAGAAACACCCTAGCACCCTAGATCTAAAGGGTTTACCTTTCGAAAGACTTATAAAACGACGACCTTCTGGCTTCCAGATCTCCGAACCGAGGCGGGTATTTTCTCCTCTCTTCTCTCTTTTTCTTTTTCTTGTTATTTTTCTCTTTTTTCTTTAGTTATTTTCTCTGTGTTTTTTCTTCTATTTTTCCCTGAAACTCTCACTTTTTTTCCTTTCACCGAATAACTTTCTTCTATTCTCTTCTCTCTTTTTAACTTGATGCGTGTGATTGATCCATTTTTCTGCCCGAGGAGATTGATTAGTCCTTTTTTTTGGAATTGCTTTGGATATCTTTTTGACTTTTTATATGTTTTTTCACTGTTGGATGTTGATATATGACTGATGGATTTGTCACTGTTGGTACTACTCGAGGGATGAGCTCTGATCGCTCGGGAATCCTTCGGCAGCCGATTCACGCGCTGGTGGGACTGATCGGTGAACTCTACGTGCGGTTGAGGAAACTGGAACATCACTGGCGGCGGTGATTGATTAATTTAGGGTTTCAAAAACCCTAGGAATCGTGTCAGATACTGGGTCTTGGGTGGTTGCTGGATTGGGCTTCTATTATTGGGCTGGTTGGTTCTTGTATTTAGGGTGTTGGGTCACTTGTTGTTGGGTTGCTTGTAATCAAGCTTCAATTATTAAGCCTGCAAAATAAGTAACAGAATAATTAATAATAATAAATAATAGAAATAATTATAATATATATATATATTTTATAATATTTTTGTAGACCAGGACAAAAACGCGTGTCTACAATGGCTATCCCTTGTTCTCATATGTAATGGGGTAAGGGGTAGGTAAGATAGTAGGCTGCCCCCAACACTAGGTTGAGAGCAGCTTCCGTAGGAGACCTCCGAATTATGAAATGCCCTCCACGGGACTCGATCCCACGACCTCAAGGTTAAAAACCTTGTGGTCTACAATGTGTTTAAAAATATATATTTTTAATTTACATAATATAAGTAAAAGTTTTGATTTACATAAAAGATTAAATATAAATTTTATTTATGAAAAATTTAGAGAAATAAAAGTGATAAAGAATTATATAAAATTTAGAGTGAAATGTAAAAGGATAAGTTATAGTGTGTTTTATTAAAAAAAATTCTATTGAAATATTTATTAATTGCTAATAATAATTTTTGATGATTTTAATTTAAATATCGTTACATCTATTAATCTATCTTAGTGATAAAAGTGAATATTGTTCTCTCTAAAAGTTTTATGTTATCAGTGGATGAAAATAATTCTGAAGAGATACTATACTATAATCATTCTATAATATTTAAAAAATAATAATTTAATTACCATTTTAAAAGTAAATTAAAATGAACAGAAATTTACAATTATTTTTATACCTCCATAATTTTGTTTTGATACGATTATTTTTTTATATTAAAATTTCCGATTGCTTCTTGAAAAATATTTTTCAAAAAGTTGCACGTGCCTGAAAGATGCAGCTTAACCATATCAAAAGGCAGAGATAAATATTTTACTGAAAATTCATAGATGGAAAATCGATAGATAAAAATCTTTTAAAAGAAATGTTAAGTGCTAGGAATTACCAAGGCAAAGCCACCAAGTTTGAAGGTAGGTCCTGTCATGGCGAACCCTTTACAGTACTTTGAAAGGAAGACCTTCCCACGAGGGACAACAAAGAAAGCTGCTTGAATATCATCTCCATTTCAAGAGGCATCCGAGTAGTCATTAATGGAATCAATTTCCCTCGTGTTATTTGGCTTAAAACCAAAGATACTGGCCAAATGCCTAACAATAAATGTATTCCCATTAAATCCAACAGTTGTATCTGTTCTCAAACGTGTTTTCAATGTCCAACAAATGGTTGGAGGCGTGAGATTGTCATCATGGAAGTAAGACTTGCAGTGAAACCTGCTGATATGATTAGAGTTGACAATAACCATGGTACCAGCAAGAAAAGATAAAGAAAATGAGATCTTATTAAATAATCGGAAACAATATAGAAATAAATACACGATTGGAAACGAGTTAAGTCTTGCAGCTACGCAATTAAGACAGATTTTCCATCACTCTTATGGCACTTGAGATCATTGGTCGTCTGTCCCGGAGGACACAACAATTAAATGATCAGCTACAGTTGTACTGCTGCAGAGATCACAAACTATTTCCTTGTCTTCGTATATCATCGAAAATTATAGAAGAAGAAAATAATTCTTTTTGAGTTGTGTTTTAACCTAATAGGTTTACACGATATTTATAATAGTTTAACATGATGAACGACCTAATGAAGCATTGAAAAATTGAGAATCAAACAATTTCCAAAATTACTATCTTGGAACCTTTTAATATTTATCATTTTAATTTCAAAAACATGATTTTGAAGGGTATGTTCTATTTGAAGAAAATATTTTAAATCTGGGTTAATATATTCGTAAGTCCACGAAAAATTTGACTGGTTCGGACATTCGCGTTACCAACGTCGTGCGCGTATGCACATTTGCGAACCAA